CCAACATACCAACATTTGCTGAAGAGTTTGGTTAATTTGCTAGAACAGCCAACTTATTGGTATGTTGGGTGTATTGCAGTTCTTCGAAATTCCTTACTCAGCTTGGTTATACTTTGTAGTTATATTCGGTTTCTCTTACCCTCACCTCGTTGAATGTTCTATGGGTTAAACCCAACCATTCTAAGGCTGGGTAATGAGCTTCCTTCTTTTCCATCTGTTCTAGCATTGATTCCCACCTTCCCTTTACAATATTTACGGATTCTTAGCATTTTTCACCAGAATGGCTAAATAAAAAGTCAGTTTTTCAGTTCACATCTAATTGGTACAGATGCCCAGAAATGTGAAATGTTTCACTTTACACTAATATAACATATTCACATACTAAACATATTAGTTTAAAAAATGTGATGGTTCTTAAGCAATCCTGAATGGAAATTTTCGCATGTTTTTATTTGTTCGATTCAAAGTAATAGTTTTTTTCACATATTCTCCTTTCATATTATTAAACCTGAAAGAGGAATAACCTAGATTATTTAGATTACACTGTATCTCTTGACATGACAGTGGGCTAACATATTTAGAAGTTTGCACCACTGATATTTCAATATTTTGAAAGTGACCCCTTGTAACTTAGGAAAGGAGGGTCAAGAATCCTAAGTAGTAGGTTGGCATACCAATGGCCATGCTATCAATGCAAAAATATTGTACAGTAGGAGTCTAAATGAGCAGAGTTTAGCTTACTATTCCCATTTTCAGCTTAGTCTGGAGGAGAAAGCAGCTTCCCCTCCCCTTACCTCCCCCCCGCTATGCCCCCACAGGAAGTTTTTTGTTTTTATAGAGTATGTTGTGTTGTTATGGTTGTGCTGATTGCTTTTGTCTTTTGGGAGTTAGTCCTGGCCAGCACATTGAATAAGTGTCACCCTAACGAGGCTTGGGGACAATAGAGCAGGCTGATGAGCAGGGTAACGAGGAATAATAATTTTAGGGAAAGTTTTGGGGTGGGATCTGCACACAAAAGTTCAGACATCTTTTTAATTCTCCTGTTCAGTCTAAACAGCTTTTAACCATCTTAATTTTTTACACATCTTTCTGCGTTAGTATAATGTTGGAAAATATCAGTAGGGGTTAAAATGTTAAAATTTTCTGCAATTTAGGAGTGAAATCACTTTGTTCATGCTGTCCTAACCACACCTCCCAGCACGTAAGTTACACAGCCTTCCTAAACACTTCCTGTAAAGTTACATCTAATGTTTAAAATTCCTTTATTGAACATTCTGTTTAATTTAGACTTTCTGATATCCTGCTCTGTGAGTAGCTTGCTAAAGTAAGTTGTTTTTTTCATGCAGGCTGTGTTAGTCACAGCTGGGGAAGGTGTGGCTAAGGCTGCATAAACAGAAATAAAAGTGATTTAACCTCTAAATGGAGAATAGAATAAGCAGTGACACTGCAGGGATATGATCTGTACACTCAAACTGCTGCATTAAGCTAAAGTTGTTTTGATGCCTATAGTAACCCTTTAAGTAAGTTAAAGGGACACACCAGACACCTGAAACCCTACAGCATGCTGAAAAACTTTATGTGTGACTAGTGTGTTCTCTTTTTTCATTTTGCAAAAAATACAGATTTCAATATAAATTTAAACTTTTATAAATAATACTGGTTACCCCCCTGACATTCAAGCAGACAGCAGGTCATGATACTTCCTGGTTTGGTTAGCTTAGCTGAGCTAAACTCAAGAGACAGCAATTCCAGAGATCATCTGTCTTGCAAAGCTGCATTTGGGAACTCTGTGATTGGACAGTCACAAAAAGCCTGGGCAGGGTTAGAAAGAAAGGGTTTTATAAGAGGTTTTTAGATATACCCCGAATGAAAAAAACACATAACTAAAAGCATACATGCTGTAATTTGGGGCATGTATACTAAACAGTGCTTTTTACATTTATTTTGTATTGAGGCAGTGGATTGTCCATTTAAGAGTGTATTTTACATCGTATTATTTTTATAAATGCTGGGTGGAGTATCTAGTGGAAGTTCCCACAGTCAATTTAAAGTCAAATTAATAACCATATCCCGCCTATATCACTGAAAACCTGTTTGAAGCCTGGAATTACTATTACTTAATTAGATGAAAGTAAAAGTTGTTGAGCTTGTTGTATAAACAAGGCAAGTGGGCAGTTTCCATGGGTGATACTGTGGAAAATAAGCTGTAGGGAATAGTGTGGGAAGTAGACTGGGGATAGAGGGAGGTATTCTGGAAATTGGAGTGAGAGATATCAGGGAAGATGATTTAGGGTTTGTGGGAAAGGAGTTTTGGATATTTTTACAGAATAGTGTGGGAAGAGTGGGACTGGAGGATATGGAGAAAGGACAAGCACTAGAAGTAAGTTACCATTAACATAAGGGAGATCATTACATTGGTGATGCTTGCTTAGTGGTATTTTGAAACCGGGGAAAGCATTGGGGAAATGGTGATACTGGGGAATATGTGAGAATAAAATGGTCTGGGCAGAAGGAGTGGGCAGCAATGTAGTATGAAGAACGTGGTGCTGGGTTGGTTAGGGTGAGACTGTTATACAGGTATGAAGTATAAAGAAAGGGCTATCCAGAAAGATGATCCGGGGTAAGTAGGAGATGGTGACAAAGAGATGGTTTGAGGTAAAGGGTGTGGTGGTGACACTGGCTTGGGAAGATGGTGGCATTGCGGTGAAGAGGATAAGTGATAACGTTGGATGTCCTGCATTGTGATCCTAAATATGAGAAATGCTTAAAATGAGATAGAAAGAGCATATCTAATTATTGTCTAAGTGGGGTGACACTAGCTGGTCAATAGTATGTGTAAGGGGTGGATTTTGCAATTATTTCATTGCGTTTAAAACCTGGATATTTCTGCAACTTACCAACATACCCTATCTAAAGTGCTCTGGCTCTAAACTGATGGATGCTACTGTACAATGCAGAGACTAGGGTACCAGACGTTCTTCAATAATGTGAAACCTTATACCAGCCATCAGCCCTTTCCCTGGCCCTCTATCCTTTATACCTGGAACCCAGCTTCTAGTATCTCACACTTTTCTAAATTTACTCAGGACATCTAAGCTTTTACTCTCCCCATCCCTTCCAGGATGATAAGTAAGCAATCCCACACAAATAATTTTGTTTTTCAAACATATTGGAGGTTGTAAGTTTTATTTTGTCTGTGTGCTTTAATTTTTCATGTTACTTTTTTTTTTGCATTAATGGACGTTTTTAATTGATGAGAATCAATTGAGAAGGTGACGCAAGAAAGAATGAAACACGGAGGCGTTCCCAAGGAGACCGTTTTTGTTCCAAATCCTCCCAGCTGTGCTGATCATTTTTTTTCTTTGTGTTTGATTATTGTTTTAAAGTTGTAAAAGAACCTTTAAATATAGCTTTACATAAAAAACAAAGACTAACGTGATTTAAAAAGCTAAAGAAATATTGGCAACTAAACTAAAATCCTTTGCTACCCTGTTACTTCCATTAGCCAGAGCACAACCCTCAGGTAACTAAATACATTTTAAGGGGCAGCTAAGACTAAACTGAACATTCATAATTAATCCTACATTAATACATCTAAAGAAGCATTAACAGGCTTGTGAATAAATGAATAACTCTTTCAAAAACAAAAGTGTTGGCCTTTAATAACATAAAGAAGAATCACATACAAAAAATTAGAATTATACTTACCCTTAGCTGCCCCTATTGTTTAGACATTTTAATCATGCTATGTCTGTGGAGAGAGGCTCCTGAAATAAAAAAAAGTACAAAACGCTGAACTTGATGGATACGTCTCTTTTCAGCCTATGTAACTATGTAACTATGTAACTATGTATAAGGGGGTGCTCAAAGTACATTAACCACTACAGTTCAACGAGTCTATGGGTGTTGCACCCCAATTCTCTATCACACTGCTCTGCTTCCACACCTCAGCGTAACTTCATCGAAAATTGAAAAGTAGTAATAAACAAACCTACTATGAACCAATAACAGCGCCCTCCGCCTATTACTGACATCTAAAACTGGATGGACAGAATTGCACTTGACAATATGATTTTCACATTATCATTGTGGTTATAGAGGGAATAAGTGATGACTGAACTATAGTGGTTATGGTTAACCCACCCTGCTCTCAGCCTATAATTGTTGTCTGCAGTTCAGTAGATTTGCACTTGATATTGCTGAGGTGTAATTTTTGTGAGGCTGTAGAAGATGGCACCATGGGCACTGATGACAACTCTGGATATATCTAGATCACATTGACAGAAAACCAAGGGAAAACATGTCTTTAGTCATCGCACCATAACCTCTACAATGACCAGCGTTGGATATGGTCCTCAGAGGGCCCTCAGCGCAACTTAAAACATTTGTAGGTTTTCAGCAGTGAAACCAGGATCTTGCCAGAAGCTCAGGAATATTTCTATGTCCCAGTTTATCCATACAGCTCTTCTGTTTACTGCTATTGGCTGAATGTAGTTCTACCCAATCACAAAGCTTGCAGGATTGCGCCCCCAAGCTGTATTCATTCACACAAGCTTTACTATCCAAAACGTTCATGCACAACATACACAGCAAGGCAGGAAGAATGACAACATAACTCTTAGTTTTATTACATCTTTAATTGGTTAACAACACACACAGTATTTATCTGCATGAAAAAAAATCAATGACTCGCCTACTGTGATCTTAATCATTCCAATTGTTTCATTGTGGAATTCTACCTGCAAATGCTTGTATTAATATTTTTTTCCTTCTTTTCTTGTCTTTCACACTGTAGAATCCAGCCACAAAGCAGTTCTTTTTTTTTTTTAATTCTTGCAATTTGATATCTGCATTGTGAATTTTCTACATTACTTTGAGAAACTGGTCCAGGAAAAATGACTGATGTGTAGGGCTTGGGAAACGAAATGTTTTCTGTCACTAGGTGGCAGCAGTGGGATCCTTTTCAGAGTTGAGCACCTAGCATCATTGTAAAAGCTTTGGTTTGTCTGACTGGCTTCTCATTCTGCTGGAGCTGCAGAGAGAGAGATCCTGACAGTGTGTGCATCCTTTTCTGGTACCCTGTAACTAACACTCACATCACTGAGCCAGAGCATCCTCTGTCACAGCTACCTGGGGTCACAGCTAACCCTAGACTTGGATTTTGTGGGCTCTTGTGAAATTAGAAAAAAAAAACAACTAGGAAAAAATCACTGCTGGAGGGAGGAAGAAAAAGAAAAACAATATTGTCTGCTGCTGGAAGAGGAGAGGAGAGAACACAGTGAGAGCTACTGAACAATCAGCCAGAGAAGAGGAATTGTCAAGCAGAGCCATGCAGTCCTTCTTGTTTCATAGTATCTGGATGCTGGGATTTGGTCTGTGCCTCTTGTCAATGCAAGGTACTGCTTATCACTTTACCTCTTCCCATGCTCCTGCTATTTACTGTACCTGACAAGCATGTTTAAAGGATGCTCTTAATGGCTCTCCTTCTGTGACTTGACCCTTGTTTGATTTCATATAACCTGTTAGCTGTCACTTGCTGTAATGTGTTCCAGCAGTGTTTCCTAATGTTGGGATTGTGCTAAGAAGATTAAAGGATAGGGTGTTATGGAGAGAGAGTCAGGGGGTGGATTGCCTTATCCAGTTGAGATCCAATTTTCACACTGTTGGTGTGGGAAGCATTAAAACTGTTGGCAGGGTTCTAACCAGGGAGAGATTTAGTTAAGTCCTGGTGATGAATGTGTGGGGTGACCAGTGCTCTGATATTAGGGGGTGCATTGAATTAAGTAAAAGGTTGGTGTCACTTTGATTCTTGCTCTGTGTCAGGAAATTGGACAGATGTTTACAGTCTGTTTAGAGATTATTCACTTATCAAAAAAAAATGACAGTACAGGATCAAAGCCAGCACAGATTGCATTTTATTCTCTTTCTGTATGTAGATGAATATCAGCTTGTGTTTTAACGCTTTAAGTGACAAACATTTGTGCATGTTTCCTTTGTGTTGCCTAACTGCCTAATCTAGTGAGAGAGGACATTGGGTTAATGATAAAGAATATATATCCTCTGTTTGACAGTGGAAAACTGTTGTTCTCTTAAATATCTGTCTGTCTATCTATAATCTGTCTGTCTGTCTATCTATTATCTGTCTGTCTGTCTATCTATCAAACTATCATAACCCTGTGTTTGCCAGTAGAATATTACTGTCCCCTTAAACATATCTACATATTCACCATAAAGACTTAACCATGTGTGCCCCAGCTGACATGACAACACTGAAAATAAAATATTTTTAAAATGGAAAAAAATAGCAAACTAAAACCTCATCCATTAATCACGTAATACTTTAAGCAATATAATGGGAAGATCTCTTAGCCACACTTGACAATGCTTGGAGTTGCATTATCTAACTGGATAGAATGTATCTTGGGCTAATCCATATTTCTCTGGTGGATATCAAAGGGTTTCTCAAAGTAGGATTTGAAAGATTGTTAAAGATTGTATACTTAACACAGGCTAAGTCAAATATTGATGTGTGTAAGAGCACAGGTCACGTGGCTAATACAAGTCCTGGGCTTTGTGCCGGTGCCATCCCTTCGGTGCCGGCTTTGGCTGATTTTTTTTTGATTTTTAGCATTAGATAAAATAAAAGAAAATACATTGTATTTCAAAATGAAGCTATTTTTACATTGTCAGGTATTGATTTCAGACTGGATTGTGCTTGATTAATGGTTACTGTTCTCATTCTTCATATTAATCAATTGATCAGGAAACAGCCCTTGCATTCGAAAACAACTGACATGGTCAGCTTTTTCAGACAAATGTTGGTGTGATGCTCCCTAGACTACTTTGCAAGGAGTGGGGTTGCATGTAGCACGAACGAATAACTGTTGAACATTTAAAAAAAAAAAAAAAAAAATCTGTGTTCGGTATCATTATATTGATCCATCCCAAGACATTTTCAAGGCTATAGCAGACGTGGCTTGTAACCTGGTTCCTACTGTGCATTTACCTACGGTCTAAGGTGACTTAGCAATAGACAGGCGACGGAGATACAGTGTCTTTCTTTATATTTGAGTGCTGTTACTATATATTCATATCTTCAATGGATTTGATTTTATTTTCTTCGAAGCACCATATACCAACGTAGTTCACATGTAGAAAATTGGACGGAATGCTGCAGATAATTTTCTGCTTTTCAGTAATTACATGTCTTATATCTCCTCCACATGTTATTTTGCCTTTGCTCGTATAGATTTTCTAAATGCTGCTGTACTAGTGATTCTTTCACTGAACTTGAGGTGTCACTGTATTGTCCTGAAACAGAGATTCATTTGCTTTCTTTACCCACTGCATCTCTCGTCTTGCTTTTATTTTCCGTTCTCGTCTTCCCTTTTCACACAGTCCTTATTAGCATCTTGCATTGATGGAAGAGTACGGAGCCCGATGCTACATTGTAAAAGTGGAAATGGTCTCAAAAAATATAAAACAACTTTGACAAACAGCCATTATGACATTAAGTTGATGCATAGAACATCAGTATCACGCTGAGGCCATTCATGTAGCAAGGCACTTCACTTCCAAATTCTTTCTGCTTCCTTCAGCTAGGGAATGATAGTCACACCAACATGGGAATCAGTATCCTCACTGGCGCAGAGGCTAATGGCGTCAACCATTTAGCAAAAGCATGGTGCAAATATTCTTCTGTGTTATATTAATATCAACGCACATTCACTGCTTACGAGTTTGTTTAACAAAATAATCTTACTGTAGTACTATCATTTTTTACAAATTCAGAAGATGAGCCGAATCAATTTATAATAATTGGTAACCTATTTGATAACTAATTGATTGATATGCAATCTTCACACATATACACGTATGTAAAAAAATAAAAATAAAATACTATACATTGTATGAAATATCTCTTCTGGACAGACTTCCCCACTGAGCTACTGTTATACTGATCATGTGATATCATTTAAGGCTATCTATTGGCTGCGGTTTCAGAATGATTGTGGCATTGTTTCTATATACATTGACAACTTTATTGCTAGAAACAAATTGATATTTTCAGAAGTTACAGATATGATATTTTATTGAGTGGGATAAAAAAGTGAGCTATGACTACTAGAAAGAGATTTTTTTTGTGAGAGCTTCTACAATACCGGTCATAACTACTGTATGTCGTTTAACTACGTGTTCTGCAGAGTGTTGAGTATGGACTTTATGCAAGTCTACGATCTCATGTTATTTAGATTTTTCCCTAAATCAGTCTCTTGTTCGGGAATTGTTTTTTAATAACTAGGTAAACCAATCGAATGTTTCAAGGACTCAGAAAAAAGTCGTATCACATGTGATGCTGACTATGGGTAGAGACAGGGATCTAAGTGTTATTATTAGTAAATATGGTTTTATATATCTGTTCTTAAAAGGTGTTACTTTCAAAGCATAATTTAATCACAGTGTGATATCGTAACCTGGTGTAATTCATGCAATGCTGGATCCATAGTCTAAAATAAAATGCTAAATGTTCAGTTTTGTGCGACTTTACTCTGCGTGGAGCCAGAGATAAGGATGCATTGAATGTGAAGCTCTCTGGTTACGATTACACACTTGTCTCCTTTTCAAGGGCAGGGCTTGTAAATACTAACCCGAATGATGCCACAGATTCCAGCAACACTTAGCAAACAATACACTGTTTTAAAGAAATGTATTTTCTTCTGCTGAGCAAGATCCCAAGTGACTGTAATGCAGTCCGAACCTTCCAAGCTTGCATTCCATTACTGAGTGACCTGCTAGAAGCCCCGATGAACTGTTCAGTGTTTCGTGTGTGTGTTGAAAAAAATATATTTTTACACATGTAATCAAAATGTGTCTGCCTTAAAGGAACACTCTGCAGACCCTATTGGGAAAGAATAGAAATCACTGTTTAGTAGATACAAACCAATTAATACATGTTTCCATGCATGTATCAATTGGGAGTATATCTTAACAAAATAGCAAAAGCTGCAGATCTTATGAATTACAGCCTTTGCAAGCCCTCCCATCATACCTGGAGAGACTTTCTGTCTCTACATGGGGAAATAGCCAATCAGGGTCTTCTCATTGAGAAGCAGCATACTTGTTCTGGATGCTGGTCTGAGGTATGCAGGAGGGAAGGCATGTGCGCTCAAAAGTGTGTGCCTGCCTCTTCTGTTAACTCAGGGGAGATACAGGAAGCAGGAAGAAACCCCTGGCTGGTTGACTGACAGCTACCGGGTGTTTAATTCATTATTTATAAAAGTGCTGATTCCCGGTAGAAGCTGAAGTTAAAGTGTTGGATGGGTGTGGACGGGTCCTTTAATAGAAGGATTTTTGCCATCAGTAGAGTTCTTAAATGTATGGTTTAGAAATATTTTAACATTATTGTTAAAAAAGGATGGTTGTTTAATTAAAGGACCACTCTAGGCACCCAGACCACTTCAGCTTAATGAAGTGGTCTGGGTGCCAGGTCCAGCTAGGGTTAACCCATTGTTTTATAAACATAGCAGTTTCAGAGAAACTGCTATGTTTATTAATGGGTTAAGCCTTCCCCCAAAGCCTCTAGTGGCTGTCTCATTGACAGCTGCCAGAGGCGGTTGCGTGATTCTCACTGTGAAAATCACAGTGAGAGCACGCAAGCGTCCATAGGAACGTGCGCATTCAGCCGACGGGGAGGAGAGGAGGAGGATCGGAGGAGGAGAGCTCCCCACCCAGCGCTGGAAAAAGGTACGTTTTTACCCCTTTCCTCCTTCCAGAGCCGTGCGGGAGTTGGACCCTGAGGGTGGGGGCACCCTCAGGGCACTATAGTGCCAGGAAAACAAGTATGTTTTCCTGGCACTATAGTGGTCCTTTAATATGATTATTGCATTAAATAAAATTCTAAAATTCTAGCCAAAGAGGAAATTGTGCCCCTGCATTGTATAGACCTGAGACAGGTGATCTCCATTAAGGCCTACACTATAAAAGCCTATATAGGAAGTAATTAATTTTGTAATACTGTAGGTGAAACATACAATACTAAGAGAAGCTGTAGAGCTTCATTGGGAGAGTAACCTTTGGAACTGTCATTAAGCTCAGCAATGACCTTACAGTATCCTGCTAAGAATTTGGGTTCAGTACCTTGTCGACTTCCCTACGGTGTCTGGCAACAGAATCTGGATCTCCAATAAGTTTAAAATGACAATTGTATGGAATATTCTTGAGTCTAAATTGATTTTACGTACAGTTGACTGTAAACTACCCAGTGTCCACAGGTGGACAGGGTCGGGGGTATTCTCTTTCATCAGATGATTCATTTTAATGTTGATCGTGCACTATGGATTAATAGTCACTTTAAAGGCATACCATACTAGACATGTATTCGTAAACCTAGAGTCTTA